TTATAAATAACAGAATCTTCTGGAAGCACTTAGGTTTGTAATTTACTATTCCTAGCTACTGCACTCTGTTTTTCTTCGCTAAGGTTTTGTCCCGATCTCCCCACGGGTTTTACTTAGCAAGGTTTTTAACGAGACAGTCATTTATGTGTACTTATTCCTATTATGTCAATTCAATAAAATCACATCTTTTAGGGGCATATGATATATTTTTTTAAATTAAATTTTTAAAAAAATACAAGGGCCGGGGCCGGCCCGTGAAGGGCTTAGGCCCAGGCCCGGCCTTGGCCATTATGGATAGGGCCAAGGGCCTAGACCAGGCATGAGTTTTTCTTCTCAGGCGTGGCCCAGGCACGGCCCTACACTGTGCAGGGTCGTGCCAGGCCCGGCCTAGGCCCTTAATGGGTCTGGTGTTGGATGTGCTGTGTCGGCCCAGCACGGCACGTTTGACACCTCTAGTCTCGAGTGCATCTTTACGCGAGACAGGCTCCACTACCGAACTATCGTCTTCAACTTCATCTTCTTTGTCATTTCCCATGTCGTTCTTAATAATTGGCTCGTCACTCAACAACTCGTAAGTTGCCTCAATTTCTCTTTGGTAGTTCAAATGGTACTCAACATTCATTGTATCATTAGTTTAAGGAAGCTAATGATACAATGGACGTATCGTTTCATAAAAAAAAATTATATATATATAGTGCTTTTGCAGTCCGTCCGGCACTATTTGACAGACTTAAACATTCACTCTATTAGGACCATCTAAATTGATCTGAACTGTTTGAATTAGCGGAAGGGTAATGACGTGGCACGCTACTTGTGTCAGTGGTAAATAGGTTATTAAATGGGTCGTAACATTTAGTTGAGCGACAGTAATGCCTAATTTTTTATCCAGTAACACACATTTGTTTGCTGCTTTTTTTTTTCTTTCTCTTCTACCTTTATAAAAACTTATACTTAAAATGCTATACGTTCTTCGTTTCAACCGTGATTGAGATGTTAGATTTATATCGTGCCACTAAAATTTTTAAATGATTATTTTACACTCTATCGAAACTCAGATTCTTGTTTTATTATGAATTACCATTCATAACAAATTTATCTGCATATTCAAATGACGGTCAATTCTAATCCCCTCGATTATATTTTTGTTCAAATCAAATAATCCAAATGGTAAGAATTCAGACATACAAACCAAATGTAACCATAATTTGAATTTGAAAACCTTTCCTTAAATTCATAAAATCAAAACCATTTTTCACAACGTAAAGTATTTCTCATTTCAGGGTTTTCTTTTTTCACGCATTAAATTTATGTTTTTAACACATTAGATTCTATTCACTTTTTAAATTTACAATTTTAACTACATGTCCAAACTTTAATATGGACTAAATTTCAAACCACGCTAACTTTCAAAATTCACAGTTCAAATCAAAATGATTTAAATTGCCACATTTAGAATTAATGAACCCCACGTCTAATTTGATTTTTGAAACAAATTTCTTTGATAGATTAGTTTACTTTAAAAAGGAAATTTCTCTGGTAGGACTTGTCATTTTGACAACTTGTAGTTACTTCTACTTTAACTGTTGAACTATGTTTTTAATAGTCTGATGTGCCATTATAATAGATTTATGTTGCGCGTTGTAAATTTTTTAACGTAAACACTTATAGATAAGACCTTAGTGATTACACCAACAATGACCACCTGTAGAAGTTCCTAAAAGAAGGCATTTTTATACACACTGGCAATTTGGTCACTATTCTTTTTCTTTTTCTCGCAATTAATTTCTTCCACTTGAAAATCTTTACAATTAAGGACCAATTGAAAACGACGTTTGTTTTTTAATGATTCTGATTACGTGATTTGCACGTGAGAGTTTGTTCAGGACAATGAAGGCCATTTCATACCCTTGGAGCATCTTTTGAGGGTAATTGACCATTGAAAACCAAAATCTGTTTATCATAACTGATTATGTTTAGATATATTAGATGACTTTGACATCAATATAACCAAACTAATGAGGTGAGAAATGGTCTTTTGCCCTCAAAAGATGCTCACGTGCACATCATTTGATCAGAATCGTAAAAAAATAAAAAAAATAAAATAAAACATACGTTGTTTTTTATTAATCCTTAATTGTAAAGATTTTCAAGTTAAAGTAGTCAATTATGAAGAAAAAAATAGAGATAAAATTGCTAAATTCAATAAGTTTAGAGAGTATCCATATAAAAAGCCAAAAAAAAAAAGAGGAAAGAAAAAGAGAGAGAAGAAAAAGAAAATTCTACTTTGACTTGATATGGTCACTAGTAAGGAGATTGTGTGTGAGTATACTTGATGTAGTAAAATTTGGGGGAGTGCGTAAATCAACAAGAAATATAGGCATGGGATGAGGTGTTGTCTAACATCAACGCAAGGGGACAATTAGGGGTGGTAATTCGTATCACGTGTCGTGTTTTGATCATTTTTTTAAAATTTACAGTCAACTCGAACACGACCTGTGACACGAAATTTTTTAAAAATCGTAACACGAACACGATACGACCACTTTACGAGTTGACATAACACGACCCGAAAATGACCCGTGACACGAAATTGGCCCGTGAATCCAAAATTGACACGAAAATTGTATACTTTTATTTAATTTTTTACATATTAGAAATAACTTAAAATTCATAACACACTAAATTACAACAACATCCATTGAAATAATGCAAATAATAGTATAAGATTTTGAGTATAACTATCATGATATCACAAGTTCATAATAAAATTTTAAATATGTAATAAAAAATATATGTATTTTTTAGTTTTTTACGAGTTTCGTGTCGTGTTCGGGTTAGACGGGTCCAACCTGAAATTGACCCGTATTTTTTGTATTAATTTCAGATCAACCTTATTCTGACCTGAACTTCTTTTTTCTCAATCCAAACTCATAAAATTTATGTCGTTTTCGAGTCGTCGTAACTCATATTACCGGGTTTAGGGACAATACCAATAACCTGCGCCCCCTCTCTACAGACTCTCTCCTACAACTCAATCCGTAAAAAAAAAATTGGGTTTTTTTACCCTTCCACGCTCCTTTCTCGCGCGTTCACTTCACATCCTTTAAATCTTTGCACATTGAAGTGAGTACCAGTAAATGCCGTGGTATTTATTAGTTTTCCTTTCTTTAGACGGTTTTCACCTAAGCATTAAAGGCAATATTGGTAGGTAGTTTATTTATTTATTTATTTTTTAATGTATTGGTAGGTAGTTTAAGTCAACATTTTTTTTATTTATATACTAATCTTTTTCGTTTTCTATTTATTTGAACTTTTTCTTTTCTTAAAAAAAAAGATTTACCAATTCAAACTGAACGTCAACAATATTATTCTTAAATCTTTAAGGTATCGTTCATTTCGCCGATTTGAGTTTTTAATTTTAAGTTTTTACAGTAAAAAATTCTCAGAAAATGTCAAATCAATTTTTTCTGTTACAGTGAAAAGCTTTTAGAAAATATCACATCTCAACTCGAATTAAAAATTTAAATCCAAGAAGTGAACAAGGTATAAAAATGTAAAAATATTTTCGCACTCAAGAATGACTTTAATAACATATATGTGCCGGGGTATTAAATAAGAACCATTACTTTTTATTGTAATGCAGTAAAAAAGTAATTTTTGGGGGAAATAAATAAATAGAAAAGCATATTATTATTTCTTAAAAAAAAAATGAAAAGCATCAATGTCCTTCCTTTAACAAGTCAGTCAACAAAATTACATAAAAATGAGAATGGTATTAAATAAGAAGCATTAAATGTATTTCTTTCACACTGATGCTTATAAATCATCATCTAATATTTGATTATCACAAAATGATGTAAGCATTTATTGGTAGATTTGACAATGGAATCGATCAAAATACGTAATGAGGAAAAAAAAAAGCACAGAAAAGAATCTCATGCAAAACCGATTGAAATGATGTCAACTTGCAAACAAAATTTTGTCCCACTTCAAGGAGAGAAAAAAGGCCAAAGAATGTTTTGAACTCCATTATTAAAGATTAACCATTTGTAGTAGTTGTTGGGAAGAACACCTGTATTTCACGCGCCATATAAGAGAGTGCGGATATTACTTTTCCACATGAAAAAAACAACAAATAAAGCGAATTCTAGAGGAAGGAATAGAGCGGCCAAAACAAGGAGATGAGGAGGAAATAATAATAATAATAACGACGATAAATAATAATAAAAATAATAACAAAATCTTCTTATAAATAATAAATAGAGAATTTTTTGTAGGGTATAAAAGTCAATTTTAGCCGTTAGAATTTCATTTTAATATTCTTATGATTGAATCCATAAAAAAAATGATTCTTAAATATTCTCTAAAATGAACCAAATGATTTGAACCACACGTAAATCGACATAATTTAATGAACGATTCTGTAAAAAATTATGTCGTATTTTAACAAAATATTTTTTTGTACTTTGTCAAATAATTCTCTGAAATATTCAGCGAAAAAAAAAATCTCTTAAAATAAAATAAAATAAAATAAATAAAAATGAAAATATAAGACAGATATGAGTAGTAGGGAGGGAGAGAAGAGAAGTGAAACCTGTCTCGTGAAATAGCAGGTGAGAAGAAGAGGAAAAGAGGAGAGAGAGAGAGAAAAAAAATACAAAAAAGGCTCTGCTCTTTCCTCCTTTTCTTTCTTCTTCTCTCTTTCTCTCTCCACCTTCCCCATCCTTCCTTCTGTAAACCCCTCCCCTCCATTCTCTCTCTCTCTCTCTCTCTCCTCCATTCTCTATCTCTCTCTCTCTCTAGAAGCTTAACACCAAAAAATTAATAAAAAAAAGGGAAAAAAGAACTCTTTCCGACACTTGCATTCATTCTTTGCTTCCTCCTTTTATATCACGAGATCCCCATCTTTTTCTCTTTTTTTCCTTTCTTTGCCTTTTCCTTCCTCTCTCTTAATGTCTTCTTCGGACCTTCTTCTTCTTCTTCTTCTTCTGCTTCTCTTCTTTCTCTGTACTACTACTGCTACTTCTACTCTTCGTACTTCTTGCGGCTTCATCATCGGCAGACATTGCTGAGAAAAAAAAAACACGATTTTAGAGAGAGAAACTTAGTCAGGTCGGAGAGTTTCTCTCTCTCTCTCCTTTTTTTTTTTTTTTTTCTTTTTTTGGTTCTTCCATTGAAAATGTCGCATTCGGGGAAGCCTGTTTCAGAGCTAGGACTCGACTCGCTCGGCGATCGGCTCGCCGAGTCGCTGAGCTGCGAAGCCAACAAGCCGGATTTCCGAGAGCTCGATCTCGGCTCCCCTGTTTCTCCGTTACGGACTCGGCTAGCGACGGCCACCAGCAGTAGCTCCAGCTCATCGGGATCGGTGTCGGGCCGAAATGGGCCTGGGCCTGGCCCGAGTCATCCATCGGCGGCGAGGAGATCCGATTCCGGGCCCAATACCAGTCACTCCGGCGAGCTTTCTGTCTCCAGCGAGAGCAGTCCGACGGCGGCGGAGAGTCTCCGATCCTCTGGCTGCGGAGGGAGGAATTTCAAGCCGGGACACGCGAGATCCGATTCGGGGAGCTCGTCGCCGGCGCTGAACGTGCTCCCGACGGGGAATATCTGCCCGTCGGGGAAGATCCTCAAGACCGGCATCGCGATGGCGGCGGCGAGTGGCGGGAGAAACCACAGGAGCGACGTGTTGGGCTCCGGGACGGGGAATTACGGCCACGGGAGCATAATGCGGGGCGGATCAGGCGGAGGAGCGACGAAATGTGAGACGGCCGCGTCGGCGAATCAGCGCGGAAGCATCGGCATTGGTGGAAGGGGGACGGGGAGCGTGGATCCGGAGGAGCTGAAGCGGGCGGGGAATGAGCAATACAAGAGAGGGCATTTTGCGGAGGCTTTAAACCTGTATGATCGGGCAATTGCGATGTCGCCGGGGAATGCCGCGTACTGGAGCAACCGGGCGGCTGCATTGACGGGCCTCGGGCGGCTCTTGGAGGCGGTGAAGGAGTGCGAGGAGGCAGTTAGGTTGGATCCTAATTACGGGAGGGCTCATCAGCGTTTAGCTTCTCTGTTTCTTAGGTGAGAAAAAAGATGCAATAACAGCAACTTTACTTTCTGATTATTTGGGTCTGCATTGTTTTTGAAGATGATTTTACTTTTAATCGGATCTAGATCCCTTTCAAGTGGTTTCTCTTTCTCTACTCAATCTGTTTATTGACAATGTTGTGAATTCTTTCATTTCTAGCTTCTCTTATTTTCATTGTCTTGTAGTCTTTGGTTTTCACTTTGACGATGGCTCTACTATATTGCACTGAAGTTGTTCAGTTTGAGATTTTTGACTTGATTAATGTTCTTGTCTCTCTGTCTGAGGTTTTTGGTTTCTCTGGTTATTGGTTTTTCTGTTAATTGTCTATTAAGGACTGGAAACCATACATGTTCCTATTTTGAGTGATTTTGGATATTGGCTAGAGTTGAACACGTTCATTTCCGGCTTCTAGGTGAAATATTCCTATTCAAAACGTGTCTGTCTCAAATACCATGTCTATAAATTTCAGCTGATTCTGTTTATTTGGTTCATGGTTTTCTGTAAGTGTGTTTTTTTTTTCCCCTCTAATAAAATCATTTTTGGGTAAGTTGAAATTTCTTTCCTTCTTTCAATTTGAATAATGCGTCTGATATTTACTTGTGGGAATCCTTTATACAATGGTGTTACAGGTTAGGGCAGGTTGAGAATGCCAGGAGGCATATATCTTTTCCAGGACTACATCCAGATCCGGCTGAGTTGAAGAAGTTGCAGACGGTCCAAAAGCATCTCAACAAATGTAGTGATGCCCGCCGAGTTGGCGATTGGAAAAGCGTCTTGCGGGAAGGCGATGCTGCCATTGCTGCTGGAGCCGACCATTGTCCTCAGGTGAGGCCTAATAATTTTTTAAGAAGTATACCTTTTTTCTGAATGAACTGCTTATAGTAAACTATAACGAACGGCTGAATTGGTTCAAATTGAATTTACAGCTCTCTATGTGTAGAGCGGAAGCATTTTTAAAGCTCCACCATATTGATGATGCTGAATCGAGCATATCAAGTGTGCCCAAGCGGGAACCATCAGCCAACTCATGCAGGCAGACGAAGTTTTTTGGGATGCTTTCTGAAGCTTATATCTACTTTGTCCAAGCCCAATATGAGATGGCGCTGGGAAGGTGAGTTAAAAAATTCTTAAGGCTTCACTATAAATCAGATGGCAAAATGGTTTTGGGGAGAGTGAGAATGGATGATGGATGTACTGCAGGTTTGAGAATGCAGTTACAGCTGCTGAGAAAGCTGGGCAGATTGATGCACGAAATGTTGAAGTTGCTGTGCTGCTTAACAATGTGAGGTTGGTAGCAAGAGCTCGGTCCCGTGGCAATGATCTCTTCAAGTCCGAAAGATTCACCGAGGCATGTTCGGCTTATGGTGAAGGTCTCAGGCTTGATCCTTCGAATCCTGTTCTCTATTGCAACAGAGCAGCTTGTTGGTTTAAGCTTGGAATGTGTGAAAGATCCATTGAAGACTGCAACCAAGCATTGAGCATTCAACCGAATTACACAAAAGCTCTTCTCCGAAGGGCTGCCTCAAACAGTAAGGTAACATCCTCCTTAAACCTCCTGCGGTGCTTTGTGATTATTTATTTTAGGTCTGTTTATCTTAGGCCCCATTTGAATTGTGAGTTGCAGCTAGAAAGATGGGAAGATGCTGTTCGTGATTATGAGGTTTTAAGGAAGCAACTTCCATATGATAATGAAGTTGCTGAATCTCTATTCCATTCACAAGTTGCGCTCAAGAAATCCCGTGGAGAAGAAGTTTACAATCTCAAATTTGGTGGTGAGGTGGAAGAAGTATCAAGTCTTGAGCACTTCAGAGCTGCAGTGTCTTTACCGGGTGAGACTTCCGTTCTTCAAATAACTAGAACTAATATACCAGCTTACCTTTACAATCATACCATTTACATAGTACAAGTCTTTTAAAAATCTTGATTCAAACTTATAGGTGTTTCCGTGGTCCATTTCAAAGCAAACACAAATTTGCAATGCAAGCAAATATCTCCATTCGTTGACTCTCTTTGCGGCCGTTATCCATCTATAAATTTCCTCAAGGTAATCAGTGCATTGCTAATCCTCCTTTACCAGATGTAGCATGCTTTTTTTCTTTGTACTCTGGGTTTTTTTCCTCTTTAGAATTTATAAAAGAATAGAGTAGGAAACATGCTTATTCCAATTGTGGTGGTTGGTTGATTATCGAAGGTTGACATTGAGGAGAGCCCAGAAGTTGCAAACATGGAGAATGTGCGGATTGTTCCAACCTTCAAGATTTACCAAAACGGTAACCGAGTAAAGGAAATTGTATGCCCGAGTCGCGAAATGCTGGAACACTCGGTCAGGCATTGTAGCTTTTAGAACTTTCATGACTGCACTGTAACTCTCTGCTTCACTTGCCATATTTTTGCGTCATCGTCTTCGTGCTGCCCAAAAATCCCCCCAGTTTGTTTGATCATAGGAACTCTTCCACAGCCCTTAATTCCAGTCTTCGCCTCCTTCCTTATAATATAGGGATATTACCAGACACCTGTGACATAATCAGACCACATAAAAATAATCTTATTTAGCAGTCAATTCCAACGGATTCCAGAGAGATAGCTTAGTTCCTTTTGCAGTTTTTATTTATTCATTCATTCCTCATTGCTCTCTGGTTCCAATTTTCTTCCCCCTTTCTTTATCCTTTTGTTGAATTTCTCCCTTTTTGGAACTTGTATTTCATTTTCATGTAGGCCTGCCTGATTATTGTATTTCCAAACTAAAGAGTTGAGAAAAAAAATGTATACAATCATTTAATTGGGTTATTCAGCTAAATGAGGGAAAGAAAGAGAGATAAGAGAAATGGCTGGCTGGTAGAAAGGATCTGTACATGTATATATGTGATGTATACCAAAACCAAAAAAAAAGAAAAAGAAAAAAAGGAAGTTATGAACTGGTGGGTACTTACTGGGTTAGTGAAAGAAGGATGAATATGTTGTTATTATTGTTGTTTATTTCCTTAAACCATTTATTTTCATCAATAAAAATTTTCTGATTTATTTTCTCCACATGTTTGCTTTTCGTTTTTCCCATTTTCTGCTTTCACAGGAGAGTACATTTGAATGTTCCGTAGGTTTCTCAGTGAATGGTGTGAGATGTTTTCTGTTTTGTTTTGGTTTTTTTGTTTTTTTTTTTTGTTTTTCGACTTGGTCATTTTTGTTCCTTCTGTAAAGTCATATATGTTAAATGAGGTAGGCGACGGTGGTTGAGACAATTCATTCGGTTTCTTAAAGTAAATTGTCTTTAAAGAGAGATGCATCAAATTCAAAACCCACTAAAATCTCACCAGTGGTTTAGTTGATAAAACAGCCTGTCCAAGAGAAATGGGCGATTCTGAGTTAAGCACGTGTCTATTTTATTGTGATTATGAGTCACTCACTAGAAAGTTAGACACAAAAACTTTCAAGGAAACTCGTAGTTTATGATTAAAAAGTTGTCAAAGTGAATAATTTTGCTACTTGATTTAGCAGATTTTAGCACTTGGGTTAGGAAGATTGTGTAGTGTCCCAAACAAATAGCCACTGCCTAATTAATATTCAGAGCCTAAAAAGTAGTGGCTTTGGTCGGTGTCAAATTAGATGATGCTGACCTAGACCCTCCATTAGCCATTATTTGTGCCTTTTTAAGTCGATGATTCTATATTGTGTATTCTGGTGTGGTGGCCCTCTGGAATACTTTTGAAAATTTATTATCTTATTACAATAGAAGACAAGTCATTTGGAACTTGGTTACTTATTATATTTCCTCACTTCCCCCCTTTTAATCATTAGGAAAATGACCTATCATAAGTGTCTAAAGTGCTTGGTTTGTTGCCTAATTTTCTCTATCTAAACTAGTCATCTCAGCTTGAATAAGTATTGGTTTTGTGTATGACTTGAAAGTGAGAGGTGGATTTAGAGGATTCTAATTGCACGCGTGGGCCTCGTTTGATAACTTGAAAAAAATTAAATGAATTTTCTTTGTAAAGATGAAAATGTATATATATATTTTTGAAAAGATGATAATACTTTTGACCAAGAAAATGTTGTGTTATAACAATCCCGTTCATTTCACTGATTCGAGTTTAGAATTCAAGTTTTGTTACAGTAAAAAGCTCTCAGAAACAGTCGCATTTAACTTTTTTACTACAGTAAAAAGTTCTCACACAACATCACATCTTAATTCGAATTAAAAATTTAAATTAGCGAACCGAACGGACCCACGTGGAATAGCTCTTTACACGTTGTAACAAATATTAGAAGATGAGGTAAACCAAATATGAATGGCTATTTGGAACATAAAGTTCCGTTTCGTGAAGAACTTTTGTCAAAGCATGTAGATTCCTATTTGGGGAAGTTTCTTGAATCTTAAAACTCTTTAATTTGGGAAAAAAATAAAAACAAACTAGTTTAGAAATTTGAGAAAATAAGTACGTTAGAGAGATTTATTTTCCTGCATACTTTCTCTGACTTTCTTTTCCCTAATAAGAATCTGTAATAGGATATGAAAAATATCCTATTAGAAGACCGTCATATTTGTATAAAATTTTATTAATTTTGCATAGTTTTTCCACTCTATTGTAGAAAGTTACTTTCACTTCTCCCCTTTATTACAAAGAAAAATTAAGATAAACGAATGTAGTCTCTATTTTATCTACTACTAAACAAAGTCACTTAAGCAGGAGCTAAAAAAGAGAGAAAAAAAAAGATAAAAAGAGATAGAAATTAAGAGGACGTTTAGTTTATGTATTCAGAATCATTCTCGTTTTACGTGTATTTTTTTGTGAAAAAATACTGTAAAGAATAATAAATTATGATTCAGAATCAATGACGAATATAGAAAACAAACATCCCCTAGAAGATTTTAAAACTTGGACACTTATGTCTGAAGTTAAAAATCTTAACAATTGGATCCCCAAATTAAAAGATTTCTTTTTCTTCGTCTGTTTAGTTTTCTTTTTCTTGCGTCTGTTTATCCTTCCGTTTTTCCAATCATTAAACCCATAGATAAAGATTGAGGACTGGACGTCAGCAAAAAGTCTAGAGGGAAAGATTGATAATTTTGAACAATATTAGTTGAAGAACACGTGCGTAGAGTAATCATATATCATGTTTTAATTACCATGTTATTATTAAAAGTATATAATAACTTAAAAGAAACTGAAATTTGAAAAATTAAAATTTAGGACGAGTAGTCAAAAAAAAAAAAAAGATTAAAAGAAGGACTAAGATGAAAAAGAAAAAAAATTTGGCAAGTAAAAAAAAATGTAGCCACTGTTGCTGTTCACGCGTTTTTGACCAAGAAGTATGTGAACAGTAAACGGGTTTCTTAAGATGAAAAGGGAAAAAAGAATAGAAAAATATCAAAAGCGAAAAAAAAAGAACAGTGAAAACACTGTTTATAAGGGGTGATTTTTAACTAAAACCAGGTCATTTTGATTGAAAATAACGAAGCCCATTGACATTTTTATATAGGGAGAAAGGGAAAAATAGATCAAGATTTGAGATAAATTAAAATTAATAGGTTAATAGTTTACATAAGTTAATAAATAGGCTAAATTATTGTTTTCGTCCATAACTTGTCTGGTTATGAACTATAACTTGACAAGTTATTTACGGGTTTTGTCCATAACTTGTCTGGCTATGAACCATAACTTAACAAGTTTGTCCATAACTTATCTAGTTATGAACCATAACTTGACAAGTTATGGCTTACTAATTTCTATAACTAAAAGTTAGCATATATACTTTCTTAAGTTTTTCATATTAGTCTATTTCCTATTGTTTCCCTTTTATATATTATTATAGATTAAGCTCATATATATATATATATATACATATATTTCTAAATAATAAATGGAATTGATTATGGTGTATTGCAGATCAATCAACAAAATTTACTTCCAAAATAAAGTAACATGTCCATCCATTCCGTTGTAGTTGACAACAAAACATAAACATCCTAGTGCAATCCGCTCTAAACTACCCATAATTGTGTGAATATTCTGTCCAAAACATGTGTAAAACTTCTTGATCACAAGTACTTATAAAAGTGTCCAACAATCCAAAATATTACCACCATCCAATATGTTGACCCCTATCCATATAAATATCCACAAACTATTTTTACAAAAACATATTCTGTTTTTTTTTTTTTTTTTTAATTGTGCAAGTATTTGCTCAAATTTACACAAAATTGTGTAAATATTAGCCCTGAGGTATATTGCCGTTCCCTAACATCATGCCTAATAGCTTACCCTGCAGCTATTAGGATAAATGTCAAATGATAGTTTATAAATGGTCGATTCTTTTTATTCTTACGAAAATGAAAAAAAAAAATCATGTATTTCTCGCAATTGTTAATAACTGTTTATAATATTAGAATGATATTCTAATTTTTTTTAAAAATGTGTTACGATGATGTCGTTTTTAGAACATAAACCATCTCTTTTTATCCATCTAATTAATTAATCAGAAACTAGTTTTGTTAATATTTTACAAAATACATTTTAGAAACATTTAAAAAATATATAAATTGTCTGAAATTATTTATTTTGTATATTTATTTAATTTAATGTAATTTTAAGCTGATTTAACAATTAAAAATTAAGTATGATAGAAGGACTTAACAAAAAAAAGACCTAAACAAAGTAAAGTAATAAAATAAAAAAAAATAAAATAAAAAAGTATACTCAACGATTACAACAAAGTGTGAAAAGGGCGTGTCGGTGCATAGACATATGTGTTGTTTGTTCCTTAAAACCAAACATTATTATATGTGAAAAAGGCCAAAAAAAAAGTTTTTTTTTCCTATATATATAATATTTTTTTATTTCAGTGAGACAAATGGAAAGAAGAAAGCGTAGAATATACGACTATAAGAGGCGCGTGAGAATGAAGTTAACATCATCGCCAGCGCGACAACGAAGATTGGAAAGCGGCAGAAAAAGACAATTAAAAATGAGAAATTAAAATAAATGAATAAAAATAAATAAATAAATTGTGACCATAATATATTTATGAGTGAGACATTTAATTTATAAATTTAAAATTATAATTTATAATTTTAATTTTTAAAATTTAATTAAAAATTATAATTTAGACGAATTTTTAAAATAAACATTTTAATTACGACTTATACTATTCCTACAGTTAGTACGGTGTACTATTCACTTGAGTACAAAAGTGGCAAGAAGAAAAGCCATCCAAATTGCAATCTGAAAACTTAAACATCAAAATATGAACGTTACCGCTATTCAGGCATTAATGTCTTCAGAGTTCGGATCCATGTCGTCAACCACCACCAAAGTGGGAGAAAATCTCGGGATGGAACTTGGCTAAGACACATAAATCGAAAATAGTTCATGATTCGCTACAGTATTTTTTTTCATAAAAAATACACATAAATTAAAAATAATTTTAATTTCATAATTTTAATCTATGAACTAAACGGGTGATTAATCTCATTTATTTTATTATTTTAAATTTTAAATTCGAGTTATAGTATAATTTTATATAAAAATTTTTAACAATAGTAAAAAAATTAAATATAACTTTTTATAAAAAATTTTAACCGTAATTTTAACTACAGCATTACAGAACTGAAGAAGGCCTTTTAGACTGGGCAAGTCTCAACGCGCATCTACAGTACTGATGATCCATCAACAAGCACTTTGCAAAACGAGAACAATTGTACAATTTCATATTTAAAAAATACAAAAAATAATATATGTTTATCTAAAATATAAAGCATAATTATAGTGGTTGTTCAAAAATTGTTAAGTTAAAATAGATTTTTACATATTTTAGCTAAAATCTTTATTTTTTTATAATTTGAATCAAAACTCAAATTATTTATTATAGTATTGTGCCCGTTTAGTATCAGTTTTCAAAACATTTTTCACGTTTTTCAAGAAGAAAAAATAAAACCAGGAACAGAAACATTGGCTTTGTTTGTTTCAATTTTTCACGGTTTTCGAGAATAAAAATTGAAAACTCGTATCCAAAACGCGTTTGGTGCAAACTTTCCTAAAAATTAAAAACAAAAACGTTTTTTTGTCTTTTTTTAAAAATCTGAAAACGATTTTTTCTCGTTTTCATTTTCTCCTCCGTTTTCGTTTTCTCTCATCCGTTTTCCTTTTCTCTGAAAATTTGATCTGCGCCTCGCCATTTGCTTCTCTGTTTTCCTCTCGCCTGACCTGCGCCATTTACTTCTCAGTCGAGCTCCTCCGTTCTCTTCTCGCCTGATTAGTTTGGGTTTCACGAATCACAATTAGGTCGTCTCTCGTGCGTCATTACTATCCACTTCACTTTGTAGTAATAGTTTTTATACTTTGACTCCATTTCATTTCAGAGAAAGCCAACAAACGCCAACTATGGAATCTCTCAAATTTCGTCTCTGACCAACGGAGCTTTCTCTCTCCTCTCCAAAATATCAAACCCAACTAACTTACAATCCAAACTTGCAAATACCCATTAAAGCTAGACCCAAATTACCCACACATTTTTCAGCTTCCACAACAAAGCACCTGAAAATAATGGCGAAAAAGAGGTCGCCGATCGAAGGCGTGAATGAAGAGTTGAACAAAATAGCTTCACAGAACCTTGATTTCGCTCCTGCTCGCAAAAGGGTTCGGTCCGCTTTCGCTGATGTCCAGCAACAGCTTGATCATTTCTTGTTCAAGCTTGGTTTTTCGGTTTTGATTTTCTACAAGTGATCATGAGTTTCGTGGGTTGTCGGTGGAATCGGTGGAATATATTATTATTTAAAATATAATTACATGTTTTTAAAAATTAAGCAACCAAACGCAGTTTCAGTTTTTTTTTTTAAATTGAAAACAATCTCAGAATAAAACTACCCAACGCATTTTCAGAAATGATTCTAAAATAAAAATGAAAATGTTTTCATTTTCATTTTCATACAGAAAATAAAAACGTTTTGGAACGAATTCCAAACACACCCATTGTTTAGCCTAAATGAAGGACAAAAAACAAAAATGAAACCGGTTTTTAGTTTAGTGTAATATGAGGAAGAAACTGAAAACGCTTTTTTTTTTCGTTTTCATTTCTGCATTTCCATTTTCTCCTTCCTCACTCCTCCGAGATGCTGGTTCGCTCTATACTCCACTTCTCTAATTAATGGAGATTACAATCCTGATGAAATTGTCATCACCAGGCTAACGCCTCAAGGATCCACCGACTACAGACCCGCCGTCCCTCTCTCTGACAAATTTGTCGCCGTTGCGTCATACGGTTCCCGTCCTTGGGGCGGTGAATTACTGCTGGCCCACGAGGACGAAAAGCCCAAGAGCCCACCGATGAAGATGAGAACCACCAACGGCGACGAGAACCTCCAGCTGACCCACGGCGACGACAAAAAGCTCAGCACCCATCTCCGCCCATGATTTCCTCCTCCGCCGCACGATTTCCTCCTCCTCCACCGATGCGAGATCTTTTTCTTCTCTTTCGACGAGCTTCCTTCGATCTTGACCGCCTCCTCTGATCTTCCTCCGATCTACAATTTTCAATTCTTGACCGCCTCCTTTGCAACTGGAATCGTGACAGTCTGATCCAGAGTCACCAGAAAAAAGACCACCAGCCACCCATCGATAGGGGTGGGTCATGATCTGAACATAAATTTTCTTTGTATTTTGATTAGATGAATGCTTTGGGTAGCTAAGTTGGATTTTGGATGGGTGTAGGCGTATGTTTCCATTTTCTTTGAGAACATCATAGACGTGGGTCTCTTGTACTTTTGCTACAAGAAATGAGTTTGATTGCTATCACGTATTTCGATGGTTCTGAAGTATATTAGAACTGGGTTCATGGGTTGTTGGTTTGAAATTAGTTACATTTGATAGTTTTTTCAGATAAATTTAGATAGTCAAAATTCAATTTAATTGTATCTATTTTTAATTTATGTTCAAAGAATAAATAAATCTTGAAGTTGTTTTTTTTTATCTGTGTTGTATTTTGAATGAAAGAATGGTTTTATATTAATTATTAGTGTTTTTATTTGGGATTCAATTATTATTTATTTAATATATTATTATTTTAAATATTATTATATGTTTTTAAAAATTAAACTACCAAATACAGTTTCAGTTTTTTAAAACTGAAAATAATCTCAGAATAAAACTACCAAACGCATTTTCAAAAATGATTCCAAAATGGAAATGAAAACGTTTTCATTTTCATTTTCATACAGAAAACAAAATCATTTTGAAACGAGTTCCAAACGCACTCATTATCTCTCAAAAAAATTTAACTTTAACTTTTTTATTAGTGTTTTCTATCATATAAACTCATTTTTCAATTCAACTCTCAACTTGAACCCGTGAAAATGGCAAAATTTATACCACATGATCTTGTGTCCCTTCATTTGTTGTTTGGGTTAATTGTATTTGTACTCTTTTTTTTTTCTTTACTACCACATAACCGTACAATGTAAACTATGACAATTAAAACATGATTATCTAATGCAAGACATAAAACTTGGCAATGCTCATGAGATATTGTCTTTTTCTCGAGTAATTTTGGATTTTCTGGAACTTGTGCATGTCAGGAAGAGTCAAGATTGATGAGCATTCTATATACTCATAAAAGGCAGTTTGTTGTGCTAATATTGCCATTCTTTTAGATCTAGTATTTATCTTGGATAAACTTTAATTTCTTAATACCTTGACGCATTTTGTATACCATACTATTAGTGGTTTTTTTTTTTTTTTTTTTTTTGAAGGGAACTCCACTAGTGGTTTACATATAACATTAGTATATATTTTTCGGTTATGTCCTTTATTAATATCCAATGCATTTTTTTCTTCTTTGAAAAGTGGATAACTTCAAGCACCCTTGTAAATTTTAACTAACTAAATCTTATTTAAGTTAAAGACATATATCCGGCTAACTAAACCATTCCATGCCACTATTATCGACTTTTACAATAATAAAAAGAGTTACAGCAGCCATAAAATAACTATATATATATACGTTGTAATCAACAAAGTCACTTATTTTAACTTCGTCTAAGAGTCTAAGGGCTTGTTCTTTTGAGTGAAAAACTTAAAAAAATGCAACTCGAGTTACAACTTTATTCGAGTTCATGTTCTTTTAAGTTTGAACTCGAGTTTGGGACTAAAACTCGAGTTCAAGTTTCCCCTTCAACTCGAGTTCAGAAACTCGAATTCAAATTAATAAATAGTGTTTTTTCTATTCTTAAAAATGCTATAACTTTTTCGTTTTAATTTTGATTGAAATGATTTTTTTTCTATGCATTGACAACGAAAAGACAAATAAAACATCACCCATATACCCTATTAAAATTTTCCATGAGTATTGAGTTTTTATTAAAATACTATCTAAATACAAATTCAAATTCTGACTCACTCAAACACAAACTCAAAAAGATTCTTATCTTAAACCATAACTTAAATGTACACAACCAAACACAAACTCAAGTTATAACTTCAACTCAAATTATAACTCAAATTCAACTCAAAAATTATACTCAAATTAAACTCTAAAAGAACAAATCCTAATTTTCTAAACTTGATATTTTTCCCCTTTGGTTTTTGAAGGGCGTTTGTTTGTTTTTTTATTGTTTTTCTTTTTCTATCAAACTCTACGCACTACAAGAAAGCATGGTTTTACCGATGAATTTTTGTTTCCCTATTGTTTTTGAAGAGCGTTTGTTTCTTTTGTTTTCTTTTTCTTTTTCTATCAATTCTAGAAAGAATGGTTTTACCGACGTATTTTCATCTGTAAAAACCATATTTCATCGTTAAAAATCTAAGGGATTGTTCGGCAGGGTTAAAAACTTAAAAAAAGACAACTCGAGTTTTAACTTTATTCAAGTTTATATTCTTCTAAGTTTGAACTTAAATTGAAACTCGAGTTTGAGACTAAAACTCGAGTTCAAGTTTCCACTTCAACTCGAGTTCAGAAACTCAAACTCAAATTAATGAACAGTATTTTTTTTAGAATGTACATGCATGTCATAGATATGATGTAGAATGTACATCATATCTATGACATAGATACAAACTCAAACTCAAACTCAAAAAAAACAAAAGTTAGACAATTATAGAGGTGAGGTAATTAACAATAACATTATTGATTCCAAAACCAATAGTTTTTTCCATGGATATGATGTAGAATGTACATGCATGTCATAGATACATAACTTGGTCTCTCAAAATAAGTTTACAAGTGACATGAGCATAATGTAGCCTTTCATCGAGACAAATCTACGAAATTAACCAATATATATATATATATATCACGGGCACATTTCTTCATCCAAATCCGCCATTTCTTCGTCCTTTGAGGTGCAAAATACCATTACGGAAGTTTCTTTTCCGTTTTTTCAGCAAAAAAAAAATATATATATATATATATATATTTTCCGTTGAGCATAATAGAGCATGTTTCTCATTTTGTGTTCAACATATAATATAGCTATATGCAATGACTGAAAAATAATTGGTGGAAAATGATGCCCACGTTTCTTTTTGAGAGAACGAAAGAGTAATTAATTTTACCTAAACATACAAGTTACAGAGACATGGATTCCAAAACGGTAAAAACAATTGACAGCCAATAATAACTAGGGTGATTTTGAGAACATTTAAACTCCACCCTTTTCAAGCATCAATTCTCAGTTTTTCTTTTAAACTGACAGTTAATAACATAGGTTGCAATATTGTTATTTGAGGGGAGAAAAAGTATCCACCATTTATCTTTACGCACCACTTGCATACAAACGGGTCCATTCCTTTGCTGCAGGTACCAAGAGACAACAAGGCAAATTGAAAATTGACATTCGTCTTCAATACTAGTAAATTGTATCAACAAACTACAGTGATGCCAAAAAAATCGGGAAGTAATTTACCTGTTTCAACGGCCTCAACCTCATTAGTTTTCCAATGCTTAGCAATGTTCTCAGAAAGGGGATCATCTGGATTTGGGGCGCTAAGAAGTGCTTGTATACTAGTAAAAATTGATATCAATGTTAACAAGTTTCAAATTCGCATACATGCTAAGATATCTTACTATTCCTAGGTCACTATTCAAATAGCAATTGAAAATTTGGTCAGCAAAGAGCAAAGTAGAGGAAAACAAGTAAAAGATACTAAAAGACATAAGGGCGCATTTGTTTCACGCGTTTGAAACCATAATTTAATTCTACTACAATACTTTTCTTTAACAAAAAATTTGAATAAAAAAAATCACGCCAATAGTTCTCTCACGATAGTTGAATTCAGAATTAAAATTACTGACTTAAACGCACAAACCGATTAGGCCATAATTCTATATGTCCTAACGCCTCGTTCAATTTGCCGATTCGAGTTTTCAATTCAAGCTGAGATGTGATTTTATATGAGAGCTTTTAGCTGTAGCAAAAAAAAAGTTAGATATGACTTTTTGTAAAAGCTTTTAACTGTAGCAAAACTAGAATTAGTAAAATGAACGCGACCTAAGCTAGCACAACATAGTATGGCTATGAATTCTTCAGGAGAGTGTAGGATACAGAATATTAGTGGATCATTTGAGTCTAGGACAATAGTTGATGGTACCTTAAAAGTACAGTTCGAATTTGGAGAGCAGGACTCCATTTGTCTTTCAAAATATCAAGGCAAATCCTACCAAGCTGCATCAACAAGTAGAGAGAAAAATCAAGAGGAGAAAAAAAAAAAGGAAAAGCCCAAGAAAAATGTCAAAAGGAAAAAATATTTCGCTACCTTATCAATGTTAGGATGATAAATCTTGGTAAGAAATCGAACCTGTTAGAAGAGAAATTAATTAATCATATAGAGGCCAAATAAGACGAGAGGCTGCAGTTTTGCACAAAAAATTAAACAAGTAAATAACCATTAACATCGATAAACAATGTAAATAAACCAAAAATTGACCTGCTTCCTCACCCTTACACGGGGAGATACCTGATCTATCCATCCTACCGAGTATAATGCACCTATTTGACTTAATTGTTAAAATTTTCCAAAAATAAGACGAGCATTAATTTTCTCATAACCTCCCAAGGACTAGTTCCAACCCACAACTTGAGTTTGGGAAGATAGGTTAAACCTGGTCGTTAATGATGCAGCAGATTCACTATGGAAAACCATTATAGTGTAAAAGGGTATGAATTAACTGCAATAAAAAAAAAAAAAAAAAAGAGCAATTCTCGCCATCTTTCTGCTCTGTTTTTATTCCTCTTATAATGGAATCTTATAAAACAAAGGGGTGACCAGGACCTGATGGCCTTGCTTGAAACGAACAGAGGCAGATTAGATGATTTAGATCACCCTATATATCAAAATGGCGAAGTCAAAGTACCTTGGGAGCAGCCATTGGATATTCTTCTGGCAAAAATAGTTCCAATTTGAAAACTCCTCCTGTATAAAAGATGTCAGACAAGAAAATAAATCATCTTGCTTGGAAAAAGTACTGTGGGGGAAAAAAAAAACAGAGAGAGAGCAAGAAAGATAAAATGGAGAACTTATTTATTTAACATTACGATCCATAAAATAAAGACAGTAATTGTTGGAGCGAAGACTGACGATAAACACAAAGATTGTTGTTTTCTTGGCCTAACAAAAATCAAGATGTAAAAAAGTGGCAAATACAAATAGCTTTTCCGCCTCGTCCCCATTTTTCAAATGGAAAGCTAATATAATTTGGCAGTAACCAAAAGTCTAAAGGATATAACGGTGATGTAAAGGATCATATATGCCTAGCCAGCCACGCATACAAAATGTCATATAGTTGGTGTGTCAACCTGTATCAAAGTGATCCTTAGACGTCATTATTTTATTTTTATATATAGTTGTGTATTCTGACTATAACCCCATTTGATAATACTTTTCTGATTAGGTTCTGCTTTTACTTTTTAAAAGCATATTTACCAGGCTGATTATTTTAGAAGTGCTTATGCTTTTGCTGTTTTATTGCTGATTTGCATCTTTAAGTGATGCCACTTAAAATTTAATGATGCTACAAACTTTATTTTGCACCCAACTTTTCACTAGTATTTCAAATTCCACTTTATAGACCAAAAAGAGTCCATTTCTGTCATGCTTATTTTCACACTTCTTCCACAACACTCATCAAACTGCATCCAATCAAGCACCAAACAAGTACCTCAGCTTCTATATTCAACATTCCCTCAACTTATTGGGGACCCTTTTGTATTTTATTAAACTTATGAAAACCCTACTTAAAACAGGTTTAGTTTATTACACATTATTCTTCTTCAAGCCACTTTAAAAGAAAGAAACTTCAAAAACCATAGAATTATAAAACTGAGCCAAAGCACTGAGTGTAAGCAATTAGTCTTTTTAATGTGAGATATTTATCAACACCAGTGAGACTGCATCAAGAGGTCATGCTAAGACCTAAATGCCAATAAAAATAATCATAAGAACCAAACAATCAAGTTCCGAGCTTCCACACATAAAGTAGAAGTTCTGCTATTTTTTTTCTGCCACATAAGACAAAGATAGTGTGTCTAGTATAAAATAAAAAGCTAACAATAATCTTTTACACAACTTGAATACCCATGTAGATGCAGCCAAAGAAATGACAGCACGCATAACACTATAGTCATTTGGTTGATCCCTACTTCAGTTTGTGTACTTTGCTACTCACACGATCAAGCACAATAGCTAAAAGGAAAGTCGCTAAATGCAAATGTCAGCTGGGACTATTCCTTCCCCCATGTATTTTTCTAATTTCTATGCCAAAAAAAATGCATTTACTAATAACAAATGAAGCTGAACCCATTAACTTCTGCACCAAAATTAAACACACAATCGAAACACACATAAAGACTTTATGTGGTAGTCTTTGTCATCTTTCAATATTAAGAAATGAAAATGCAGCTTCCAGAAAATAGAAATTGTAAACAGGGGCAAAAACTGAAATCATGCGTTCAAATTATTTTCACTTGAAAAATAAAAAATACAAAAGACAAACCCACAAATGAACCAACTAATATGGGATTATTAGATTTCTATCACAAGCAGCCAACAAAGATAAATAGCAACAAGAAGGTAGAAACATAACATAGACCCACAAAAGAAGTATAGAAATTTACCTTCATAAGGAGATTGCGTGGGGCCAAGGATCATCACGTTAAAATAACGCATATTGTCTTCGGATGGCGAAGCACTAATTCCCGGAGCTGATACCGAAAATCAGAATTTGTTGAAACAAATGAAACCCTTTATCCAATTAACATCAAAATCCCAAACGTAATAACATGATTCTAACATATTGCAAACACAATAAATCCAAAACTTTTCTCAATTTCTATGATCTCAATCAAATACAAAGATAAGAAACCAGTAAATAACTAAAATAAAAATTTAGAATTCAACCACTTACCAGGTTCACTCAGCAGACGCTGAGTCTCCTGCGGGATCATGGAAAGAAAACGATTACAAAAATTACAGAAACCCAAAATTGAAAGAAGCAGCAAAAGCCCAAAAAGTTTTGTTTGGTTTCCGAGAAAGATCGGGCACAAAATAAATATAAATAGAAAAGAAGATCGAGAAAACAAAAAGAGTAAGGCTATAGAGAATTGTAATCAGTTCGCCCATTCGATTTCTCGTAACAAATCACGCAGATCAAAGGAAACTGAGAGAGCGATCAAGAAAAAAGACAAAGATACGAACCTTGATGATCCTTCGGGGAAGATTACTGTTGGCCATTTTTCTAGGTCGATTGAAAACTACGCGAACACGAACGAGGGTTTTGCAGAGAGAGAGAGAGAGAAGAGAGAGAAAGATCTTTTCTCCCACCACAAGAAAGTGAGCATCTATAAGGGCTTCATTGACGAATTTTAATCCCTAATTATTAGCATTATGTCCTTTGGTCTATAAAATTTTAATTTTAATTTTTTAAAATGGAAAAATCTACGATACCGAACGTCACATGACGTATCGGTGTCTTACAATCAAACGGTTAACTTTTACTGGATTATGGGTAGGCCCACCGTTTTCTTTCGTAAATGAGGACGTGGACACCTGATCTTTTCTTGGATTATGGTTTACTTTAACTGGATTATGGTTAGGACCATCAATGCAATAAATTTATGAGTTTAGGAGGTTGATTAAAAAAAATTTAAAATTAGCATCGATCCATCAAACACGATAGTTTTAGGAGATCTCATTCATGTAGAAAAAATTTATTTGTTGAGCGCGTTTGGAATTCATTTTAAATTGATTTTTTTTTTTTTTATGAAAATAAAAATGAAAACGTTTTTAAACTCAAAAATAAATCATTTTTAAAAATGCGTTTGGTAGTTTTATCAAGAGATTATTTTCAGTGTAAAAAAACACATTAATATCTCTATTTCTCTTTCTCTCTGCTCAAGAGATGAGAAAATGAAAACAAAAAATGAAAAACGACTAAAAGTCATTTTTCATTTCTCTATCATTTTACACTAAACCAAAAAATCGTTTTCATTTCCGTTTTTTATCTTTATTGCGCCAAACGCCGTTTTGAAAACGTTTTCATTTTTTCTTTCTCAAAAAACGTGAAAAATAAAAACGAGATCAATTCCAAACATGGCCATTGTGTCTAAAATTATGAGGATAGTTTTTTTTTTTTTTTTTTTTAAAGAAATTGAAAGGACAGGGTTGTAGAGAAATATCGCCGAGCTCTCTTTGGACTCAGCCTCCATCTCCTTCACGCTTCACTGACTGAAATTTCTTCACGAGAATACAGGAAAATAAAAAATAAAAAAGAGGGAGGAAAATTAAAAGGCTTTGATAGTGGATTTCAACCTAAGAAGGGAAAAAACTTTCTTTTTTTTTGTTATAGAGATATAGTGTGTTGTTTGGGAAAATATGTCTTGCCACGTCAGACAACAACCGAGCTCCACGTGGCCATCACCTACCACATCAGCTAGCGGTTAGCGTTCAAAGCTGATTCATTCCAATGGTGAAAGGGTCGATCGTATGAGGTATTTCAGAATAATCCTTGAACGCATCAACAATAAGCATGCAACCGTCGATCCTACGCATAGCCGAGGCGTGTATGAATTGGAGTCCTCAGCAGACCGACGGTGCCATAGAAGGATTGACCAGGACGAAGGCCACGTTGACTTGTTGAAATACAATAGAGACGCAGAGGGCAAAACACTCAGTTTTTTACCCATATCCCAAGAATAACCTCTGAGGTGACAGGGGGAAATCCCTAGGTTACTTATGGGTTTGAAGAATGCTAATAGCAAACAAAACACACGCTCACACGATACAAAAGTGTTGGAAGGAAACTTCTCAAGGTTGGTAAACCGGAGCCTCGAGAATGATCTCTTCAGCTTGGCTCACACACTCAATGTAATGCTTCAGTCTGTGGCCATTGACTCTAAATACTCTCTCATCACTCGGGTCCTCGACCTCAATAGCACAATTGGGAAAAACGTGTTTCACCACAAATGGACCAATCCACTGGGACCTCAACCTACCTGGGTGGAGATGCAGACGGGAGTCATAGAGATGCACCTTCTGATTCGGCTCAAAGTTCTTTCTCAGGATCTGTTTATCATGTGCCGCTTTCATTTTTGCCTTGTAGATCCTGAAATTGTCATAAGCATCATTCCTTAACTCCTCAATTTTTGACAGCCGGAGCTTGCGATGAACACCTGCAACACTAAGATCAATGTTAAGGGCTTTAATAGCCCAATAAGCCTTATGTTCAAGCTCTACAGGTAAATGACAGGCTTTCCCAAAGACAAGCTTATAGGGAGACATCCCAATAGGGGACTTGTAAGCAATAACGGTATGCCCAAAGAGCGTCAAGAAGACGTGGATCGATCCTTACGGTCGAGATTTACCATCTTTTCCAGAATCTGTTTAATCTCCTTATTCACCAACTCAGCTTGACCATTAGTTTATGGATGGTAGGCAGTTGCAACCTAATGAATGACACCATATTTTTGCATGAGAGCTTCAAAAGATCGGTTGCAAAAATAAGTGTCTTGATCACTGATGATAGTATACGGAGTACCAAACCTAGATAACACGTTCTCTTTCAAGAACTTCACAACTGTCGCATTATCATTGGTTCGACACGGCACAGCTTCTACCCATTTGGAAATGTAATCCACAGTAAGGAGAATGTAGAGGTAACTAGAAGAAGGTGCAAAAGGTCCCATAAAATATATCCCCCAACAATCGAATATCTCTATTACAAGAATTGGGTTCAAGGGCATCAGGACAAGGCACCTAACTTTTAGCACCTCACACAAGAACGACAAAACTCATTAGTATCCTTGTACAAAGTGGACCAATAAAGACCACACTGTAAGATTTTTGTGGTAGTCTTCTTCATAGAGAAGTGACCACCACAGACATCGTTATGACAGAAGTTCAAAACACTAAGAATCTCGTCATCAGGAATGCAACGCCTCATGATTTGGTCGGGACAGTACTTAAACAGGTATGAATCATTCCAAAAGAAATTACGCACCTTGACCAGAAACTTGTGCTTATCTTGTGCACTCCAATCAGAAGGAAGTTCACCGGTCACCAAGTAATTGACGATGTGAGCATACCAATGTAGCTTAGTACTGTGAAGAGATTCTTATCGGGGAAGTCATCTCGGATAGCAGTGACATCGGTAGAATCTGTAAAGTCTAATTGGGACAAGTGATCTACCACAACATTCTCAACACTTTTCTTGTCCTTAATAGTCAAGTCAAATTCTTGCAACAGAAGGATCCACCGAATTAATCGCGCCTTAGCATCCTTCTTGAAAAGGAGATTGAACACTACGTGGCATTACTTCTTGTGCGTGAGTGATGTGGCAATGTAGCAAATTTGGATTTCTTTTTTTTTATTTTAATATTCTCAATCTTAATTAATCTCCACAATTGTCTTTTCACCTGATTTATTTACACAATTGAGACCAATAATTAGTTATAGGAAAAAATTAAATAAAATCAACTAAAATAAAATAAAATAAAACAACAGAAAACTAAACTAAAAATAAATAAAACAAATAAATTCCTTAAGTTAAGAACAAAATAAATTTAAAGAAAATAACTCTATTTTATAGAGTTATCAAGACACTTTCTTTCTATGTTATTCATGTTGGTAGCCGAATCGAATTCGGATGCGGAAGCGTGGGGGAAAGCGGATCAAGTATAACAAAAATTTTCTCAAAACTTTTGAGATACTCTATAGATTATATTAATTTATGCACGAATAAATTAATCATATTAATTCATTTAATAAGAATTCAATTAGGAAAAATACCTAGAGGCCGACTCGGATGATAACTTGAGTTCTTTGACCTCGAACAATCCTAGCTCCAAAGCTTTGTGTTTAGAAAACCAATGTCTTCCACGTCAATTCCTAGAATCCACGAAGACGTGTGTGTGGGCACACATGAGACAAAACGGGTTACAATAAACACTCGAATTTCAACAAACACCAACGCATGCACAATGTGGAATTTTTGGAGAAAAATTTTCCTTTTTCCTCTCTAAGAGAATTTCGGCCATAACTGAAATTAGGGCAAAAATTGTTTTAAAGATAAAGCTTGTTAATTATCTCCTATTTGAATTTGAAACAAAATCTCCCATTCCCTTATCCTTAAGTGTGGCCGGCCAAGATAGGGGATTCTCATCATCCTTTATTCTGTAGTTCAATTTTGACTCAAATTCAAATTCCAATTTAAGTCAAACTTAAATTAATTTGAATTCTAAATTGAACAACTTATCAAATAAGTTTAAATGGATGATCTAGATGTGTTCAAATTCAAATTTAAATAATCACATTATTTAAATAATAATTAATTCTCAATTAATTATTTTTTGAGTGTTTAATTTTTAGAATTCTGTAATTCTAAAATTCTCATTTTGCCCTTTGTGTCTGGTAGAATTACTAGGACGACGCGGGGACTAATGGACCTATAATCCTGCAATCCAATAAAATTAATAATTAATTAAACACTTTAATTAATTAATTAATTCTATTAATTCCAATAGTTACTCCACTATAAACT